GGTGGGAATGTAAATTGATACAGTCACTATGGAGAACAGTATGGAGGTTCCTTAAAAAACTAAAAATAGAATTACCACATGACCCAGCAATCCCACTACTGGGCATATACCCAGAGAAAACCACAATTCAAAAAGACACATGCACCCCAGTGTTCATTGCAGCACTATTTACAATATAGGTTATGGAAGCAACCTAAATTCCCATCAACAGACAAATGTATAAAGAAGATATGGCACATATATACAATGGAGTATTACTCAGCCATATAAAGGAAAAAAATTGCGTCATTTGTAGAGACGTGGATGAATGTAGAGACTGTCATACAGAGTGAAGTAAGTCAGAAATAGAAAAACAAATATCGTATATTAACGCATATATGTGGAACCCAGAAGAATGGTACAGATGAACTGGTTTGCAGGGCAGAAATTGAGACACAGATGTAGAGAACAAACATATGGTCACCAAGGGGGGAAGCGGCGGGGATGGGGGGTGTAAAATAAATAAACTCAAAATGGGTTAAAGACCTAAATGTAAGGCCAGACACTCTAAAACTCTTATAGGAAAGCATAGGCAGAACACTCTATGACATAAATCACAGCAAGATCCTTTTTGACCCACCTCCTAGAGAAATGGAAATAAAAGCAAAAATAACAAATGGGATCTAATGAAACTTAAAAGCTTTTGCACAGCAAAGGAAACCATAAACAAGACCAAAAGACAACCCTCAGAATGGGAGAAAATATTTGCAGACGAAGCAACTGACAAAGGATTAATCTCCAAAATATACAAGCAGCTCATGCAGCTCAGTATCAAAAAACAAGCAACCCAATCCAAAAATGGGCAGAAGCCCTAATTAGACGTTTCTCTAAAGAAGATATACAGATTGCCAGCAAACACATGAAAGGATGCTCAACATCACCAATCATTAGAGAAATGCAAATGAAAACTACAATGAAGTATCACCTCACACCAGTCAGAATGGCCATTATCCCAAAATTTACAAACAATAAATGATGGAGAGGGTGTGGAGAAAAGGGAACCCTCTTGCAGTGTTGGTGGGAATGTAAATTGATACAGCTGCTATGGAGAACAATATGGAGGTTCCTTAAAAAACTAAAAATAGAACTACCATATGACCTAGCAATCCCACTACTGGGCATATACCCTGGGCATATACCCTGGGCATAATTGAAAAAGAGTCATTTACCACAGTGTTCATTGCAGCACTATTTACAATAACCAGGACGTGGAAGCAACTTAAGTGTCCATCAACAGATGAATGGATGAAGAAGATGGGGCACATATATACAATGGAATATTATTCAGCCATAAAAATAAACAAAATTGAGTTATTTGTAGTGAGGTGGATGGACGTAGAGTCTGTCATACAGAGTGAAGTAAGTCAGAAATAGAAAAACAAATACCATATGCTAACACATATATATGGAATCAGAAAAAAAAAAAAAAGTTCTGATGAATCCAGGGGCGCAGGCCAGGGATAAAGATGCTGATGTAGCGAATGGACTTGAGGACACGGGGAAGGGGAAGTTTAAGTTGGGACGAAGTGAGAAAGTAGCATTGATATATATACACTACCAAATGTAAAATAGATATCTAGTGGGAAGCAGCTGCATAGCACAGGGATATCAGCTCGGTGCTTTGTGGCCACCTGGAGGGGTGGGATAGGGAGGGTGGGAGGGAGACGCAAGGGGGAGGGGATATGGGGATGTATGCATACATATGGCTGATTGACTTTGTTGTGCAGTGGAAAGTAGCACAACATTGTGAAGCAATTATACTCCAATAAAGATGTTAAAAAATAATAAAATGGACAGTATTAAAAAAAGTACTCGGCAGTCTGTCAATGTCAGTGATACAGTGACAATATGACTTAGTGAGAAATTGAGAGAAAAACTAAAGGAAATGCTTTCTGAACAGAGCTAAGAAAAAGATAACTATTTTTTGATGTTTTTAATAAAGTTTTTTTCTGTTTTTAATAAAGTTTTCTTTTAAGTACAACTTTGGTTTCGTTCTGTAAGGTTCATGGTCAAAAGTCACATGGCCATCTGCAAGCTGCAAGGGATGCTAGGAAATGGAGGATTTTAATTAGCATACTGCTGTCCCAGACAAAAGTCAGGATTCTGTTAATAAGGAAGAATGGGGGAATAAACATTGGATAAACTGCTAGCAATATCTTTCATAAAGTCCTAAGGGCCTGGGAGATTTTCCTGTAGATTCCCATGCTATACAGATTGTTACAAAGCATTGCGAGATGGAAAGATACCCAATTTATTTTATAAAGCTGCCAGGATCTTGTATCAAAACCTGACAAAGATGAGTGAAAAGGAAAATTATAGACCAGTTTAACTTATGAATATAACTGTGAAAAGTCAAGATACAAACATTTCAACTTTTCAGCACATTGAAAGAATCATCCATCATGATCATGTAGGGTTCATACTATAAATGTAAGAATGCTTTAATATTAGGAAAGCTTTTAATACAATACAGCATATCAAAAGATCTAATAAAAAATATGGTAATCGCAATAGATAAAGATTTGATCAACGTTAGCCCTTGTTTCTGATTAGAAAATCAGTCTTAGACAATTAAAACTAGAAATATGTTTCTTTAATGAAATAAAGATATCTAACTCCTATTCTGGTCAAGTTTATTCCAGTACAAAGAACAAAGGTATAGTCCATATACCCCAGCCTTATCAATCTGTGACTTCAAAATACACTTTTAAGTAATACCTGAAGTAGGATGGCACAAAACCATAACGATGTACTCCCAGTTCCTTCTGGAAGTTTCTCAAAGTATTCTCTTTCATGTGCTGCAGAACACATCCCCCTCCCTCCTCAGCTCACATCTCTCTGACTTGCCACCATACAGCTGCAGTAACTCTAGTTAGGTAGAATGATGGGCGTACCTGTTCTTCACTCAGGGGAAAATAGTACCCACTCGTTCCTATTTTTCTGTTTGAGAATAAAAATGAGGATACTTCTAATATTGCCTTTGAACTTTTAGAATTAGATAGTTTTATAAAATCAAATTATCTACTCCTTTGTAAAGTGTGTGATATGGCTTTGCTCTGGTAATAAGTAGACTAAGGCTTATTAACTTCTGAAACCACAGTAGTGTACGTTTTATATCAGTATTTTAAAGTCTTTTTTCTTTTCACCACAACCCACACTAAGAAATACATTTTAAGCTGTGACCAAGTGTACACACACGCACACACGCACATTCCGTACATTCATATCTATAATTTTTTTTAAGTTTCACAAAACTTACCAAGGATCTATGCAAAATACTCTCATATATATCTATTCTATTCTAATTCATTAAGAAAATTGATATCAACCCACCAAATTTCCTTAGACCATGCTTTTTTAACAGTTTTATGATTCTGTACAGAGGATGATTCTTTTGACTCTTAAGTAAATAAAATGTCTGGAGTTCAAGAATTCAATTTTGGAAGGTGAGAATGTATTGGTTTTTAGAAATATGTTCTAATTTTGTTGTAAATATTAACTTTCATGTATAGGCAGGATGCTTTTGGTGCTAGTTGCTAGTTTTTCTTTGATTTCTAGGAGGGTGATTGGATAAGAAAGAATTTTCTAAATGGTGATTTCTTTTCTTCCTGCAGCTCTCATGTGTGACTGTAAGTCTAGTGCATCATTAACCTAAGGACCTCACCACTTGGAAGTTACAGTTTTCGTCATCAGCTTACCTTATCCTTTTTGGTCTGGTTGTTTTCCTCAAACAGTGGAAACATCTTTCTTTCAAGTTGCTTTTGTTGAAGAGTTAAGCAAATGGCTAATAGCAGCTGTGGTAAAAAATCCACAAAATGCCCCAACTGTTCATCTGCTTCTCAGAAAAATGTGCTTTGTGTATGTTCTTGTAAAACAAAGCTTTCTCCAGTGTCAGTGGTGGAAATGTCACAGACATCGAGCATTGGTAGTTCAGAATTTACAGTTTCACCAGAGAGAAAAAAAGAAAGACAAGCCAGCAAAGATACTACCTCTGGAAAAGATTTGGTAAATATTGAAGATTGTACATCTCAACACAAGTGGGTGTCCCATTCCCTGATCCCATCCCTAGATTCATCCATATCCCATGGACCCTTGTCAGCCAATTCATTGCCGTCTTAACTATTAAAGTAACATTTCTTTCTTACATAAGAGGTGAGAAAAGTTGGTTGGTAATTTCTTTTACGCTCTTTCCAACGACTGCCCAAATTAATGATTTCTCAGGATTATGAATAATTCAGAATGTTATTCCAGCTTCTTTTTTTAAAAATGGTTTATATGGAAATGAATTGGTTTTCAAATTGAATTCAATCTGGATCTGGGGGCATTTTCTTCAACTGATGCAGAATGAGATTTATGGTTGTGGTTAAATATAGGGTGGTTATTACTTAAGACAGTTCCTGGTTATCTAGATGGAATATCAAGTATACCTTACAAAATTGACTTGCATTAGTTACAATCTATGACTACCCAGTTGGATAGGTTTTGGTATATTCGCCTTTATAGAGGAGAGGCACTATGGAAGATTGTCATTGATATAGCAGAACTTTGGAGACAGAGAGCAGTAAGTTTAAGAAAAGTTAGGTTCTCAGCCCTCAAGTTTGTACCTTTTTCACATTTTCACCCGAAACTGTTATTTCTGATTTGTATTATGGTATAGTTTTTGCCACATAGGTGTCTCTGAGTGAATTATTGCTATGTTGTCTTCATTCAAAGCATATTTTGTGAATGTCTGGCCAGTAATTTTTTGTGTATAACCTATTTGAGATGACTGTTATGTCTTGAAACAAGGGTGATTGAGAAAGCTGTGAAGTTGCCTTCTTTTGTGATGTTAAAGATTTTAAGTCCTGATTTATCTTCTATGCAAGCCATCATGTAGACTTGCCTGGATAGAGGAGATTAGATTGAATAATTTCTTAAGGCCTCTTTTAGCCTAATGAGTGAATGAATTATATAGGCCTTAGAATTTGTAAAAAACAGTAAACTATCTTGTACACAATAAATATCTTGACACACATTAAAGATTTGTCAGATTATTATATCTTAAAGTTAATGTTAAAACTTCTTTTTGGTCCAAGCCCTCAAAAACCTCAAATGTAGAGAGAAAATCATCTCAACAACAGTGGGGTCGAGGCAACTTTACAGAAGGAAAAGTTCCTCACATAAGGATGGACAATGGAGCTGCTATTCAGGTATATAGAGAGGAAACTGAAGCTACTAGAAATTTTCCAGTTTCTTCTAAGTCAGTGTTAATGGCAAAAATGATTTAAAAGTAAGTCTCTAAGGAAAGGAAAGAGGAAACTTACCATTTTTAAGTATGTCAAAGTCTTTACTAAAGAAAATGCAGATTAATTATTTTTTCTGTTCATAGAGGTGCAAATGGACTTTAATGATTAAAGTGGAGAGCATTTTTATTAGACAAAATGAGAACATTTTGGTCTCCAGGTCTTGCCCATTGCTGAGGGCAGTTGTGGAGTCTTTGTATAGACCTATTCAAGATGCAGACAGAGACCAGGTGACTTGGATGGTTTGGCTGTTCACTTCTTTGATGACCAGTAGTGAGGCTAGAATTTCCCTCATGGACCCCTCCATATTTTTCCAGCCTGTGACTGAGTGAATACCAATATTATTCTTCCCAGGATTCTAATTCTTATATACAAATATGACTTAAATTTTAGTACCATTTTAGAAATTAAAATGTGTTCCTTTAACGCCAGATTAAAGGAACTGCAACAAGAACAACAAGAAGAAAATTGTGTTAATGTTAAATAACTTTAAAAAATTACTTTAAGAAATATTTGGCAATTTACTTGAAGAAATCAGAAAAACTTTCTGAGAACTTCTGACCTGAAAAGTTTAAATCTTCCCCTGTAAACAAAAGACCTGAATTTTTTAAAAAATCCACAAATTTACTGAGTTTTAAATTTAACCATAAGAGCTTTTATAAAAGCAAAATGTATGTGTTTTGAAAAATTAGGAAAACATAGATAGAAAAGTGAAGAAGATAAAAATCATGAGCCAGACATAACCAGTTTTAACATTTATTGTCTTTACTTCATTTTTCTAGGCATGTATAAGTCTTACCCTATTTTTTGTTTTTGTTTTTTTCCTGGTTTAAATTGTAAAATATTTCAAATGTACACATATTTTTAAGAAATAACATTAAATGGTATAGTGGAAGTTTCTCTTCCCCTATTAAATAGACAGGCTCATTTTAAAGATATCAAACATTTCAGAAGAGTACAAAAAAGGAAGCTACAGTCATCCAAAGTTCTACTACCTAATGATAACTATTCTTAATATTTAGATGAACAACTTTCCAGACATCAATGTAAGCACCTCCACATATACAGATTTTTCGTAATGAGATCATATCATGCATGCTTTCACACTCTATACTATATCATGGACTTCTTATATGTCAATAAAAAGAGATCTACGTTACTATTGTAATAGCATCCTCTTAAAATTATTACAAACAAGAAGTCATTTTCTCCTTATTGTCATCACTATGTAATGATGCCAAAGCAGTTAGTTGAAGAAAAAGATTAATTTATAAACAACTAGTTGGGCAGTTGGACTACTTTTCTATCCATTCTTCATTTAAAAAATCCTATAAACAGTATTAAAATACCTTGTCCAAATTGTGGTTCTATATGTCTAGAGATGAAATGAGAGGTTAATTTTTAAAGGACAAGAAAAGTTGGGGAAGTGGTTAGGGATTATTGAGATTATTTTGTTCTGTGGGAATAAAAGGTTTAAGTGGAGATTTAACTCATTTTACATAGTGTATAGTTGGGAGTTGCAGGTACATATAATAAAATGTTTTGTCTTATTTTAATCATCTTAGTTTTTTGACTTTGATTCTCACTATCAAGTGGTAATGGGAAGAGGGAAAAGCCAAAGTAATTATAAGTCATCAGAAGGCAGTGTCCTGAGGACAATCGCCTGGACAGGATGTGCCCTGCCTGAGTGGGAGTCACCATTCACAACATTCAAGACCTCAGATCTGGAGCTCCTTCTCCAGGGTTCAACTCCATGTACCCAGTCTCTCACTTCTCTCAAATATGCATATGTATAGAAGGTTCCTGACTGGCTGGCTTGCTGACTAGATTGATTTATTGATTCAGTTCATTTATCAGCTCACTCATTCATTCCACATTTGCACTGCTGTTCCTTTGAAATGCCTTCCTTGCTGTGATTGGATTATAGAAAAATATTCTCAGTTATTTTTTTTTGCCTTTGTTCCCTCACATGCCTACCTCAGAAGCCATATCTTTAATAACGTTTTCCCTTATTCTCCCAGTATTTTAGCTCTGGTCTCTGGCCCCAGTGTCATTTTGTATTTTTTTTTAACTTAAGATTTTATGACTTAAGTAATAATCTTGTCTTTTTGAGTAGACTACAAATTATGAGAAAACAGTAATTATGTTTTATTCATCTTTGTAGCCCCCAAAGTATGTATCACAAGGAAATATCCAAGGAAAATCTAACATGTTGAAGCTGAACATTTTTCTTTTCTTTTCCTTTTCTTCTCTTCTCTTCTCTTCTTTCTTTTCCTTTCTGTCTCTCCCCTTCCCTCTGTCTCTTTTTTCTTTCCCTTTCCTTCTTTCCTTTCTTCCTCCCTTCCCCTTCTCTCCCCTCCCTTCCCTTCTTCCTTCTCCCTTTTCCTCCCATGCACTAAGCATGAATATTTTGCCTACAAGGTTTCAGGCAGGCTTTTTAAAGGATACAAAAGAAACAGCTTCATAAGGTGTTTCTAGACCATCTTGGAAGGAAAAGAATGAGCCAAAATGTTTGTAAGCAAGAGTAATAATAGTGTTTGAGGACCAATGCATACATGTTGAAGGAAGTCAAACGAACAATTACCATTGTGCAGAGTTAGGCAGAGAAGCCCTTCATAAGGAGGTAAGTAATTAGTTGGATACGGATCTTCTTTTACAAAAGTTAAGAAAGGAATGTAAGCAGTAGAAAACATAAAGTCTAGCAGTAACTTACCTGTTGCATGGTGAAGATGAAAGTAGTCACGCAGAGGGAACGTGGCGTCTCTAAGGCAGGCTTTGGCTGACTAACCCAACAGAGGCTCCCCCGAGCAGCATTAGCTCAGGTGTTCTCTCCTGTTCTAGTCCCTGTGCATCATGGGTCGAGAAACTCTTGCTACTGCCCTGGAGTTGATTCAGATCAAGGAGACTGACTCCCTGCAACCAAATTCACAAGAAATGAAAGTGTAAATGAGTTACCCGCTTGTTATTTTACGACATGAAGTGGAATGCTGGTGTTGTCAAGACCCACGCATTCTGTCTTTGTAAGCAGGAGTAAAACGATAAGCAGAAGGATCCTTGGTCTGGATAGTGTTACTGTGGAAGGTTTTTATTTTTTTTACAGTGCTGATTTATATTAATATTTTGGTCATATATTCCTTTTCCTAAAACAACAAAAGTGATTTTTTTAATAGAAACAGTGAAGATAAAGAAAAAGTGTTACTTGGTAAACAGGAGAGCAGTTGTTCAGTGGTTAATATGTGCTGATTTTATAGTGTAGCTCTCAGAGTTTGGTGATAATTTTTTGGTTGAATGTATCTTATACACACGCATATATATTTGCATGTATGAATGTTCCATTCCTCCTTTTTCTTATGAAGACATTTCATTAATATTGTAGTTTATAAGAGGTTCATTTTTTATGCTTTTGAAGTTTTTTACATTTCTTTGTAAGGATTTTTATGGTTTTCCTCTAAAGGATATTTAATAAAATTCATCAAAACTTATTTTTGTTTAATTAAGATGCGTTTATTAATATTGAAGCAAATATGGGGTGTCTTCTATTTGATTTTACCCTGGAGCAGAATCACTCTTCCCTTGGGTGGATATCTGTCAGTATTATATGTTTATTTGTAATCCTGATGAATGGCAGAGAGAGACAAAGGAACTCATGTTTTTTATCCAGGAAATCTATACCTTTGGAAGAATACTGGGAAAAGGGAGCTTTGGAATGGTCATTGAAGCTATTGACAAGGAGACAGAAACTAAGTGGGCAATTAAAAAAGTGAGCAAAGAAAAGGTAAGGCATATCGGCAGCGTCCTACTGAGGGCACAGTGCCAGTGCAGGGTGGGGTAGGCAGTACAGTTTTTCACACTAACACAGCTGACCCTGAGGGCCAGGGCCTAGGCTGTTCCCTTGGAGAAATGTGGATATTTCTCTAGCCTTCTGGGACGGGACCAGTTCTTAAACTCAAGTAGACAGGTACTAAAAAGCAAGTGAAAGGATTACCTAACATAACCAGCATAACCAAATATAGGTAAAGTTTACCAGAGTGAGCTGAAGGTGAGGGCTGATCATCAGTATGTGTAGATGTAGGGCTGTGGGCTAGCGATGTCTTAGTGAGAAATGGGTCTCGGTGGTCTCTCCTGATGTGGTTCTGATATACTTTGTCCCTATCTTTGCCTTTCCTTTGATTCCCTATTTCCTCATTGGTAGCTAACTCTGTTTATTCATCCTACCTACTCTTTCAGTTTGAACCACTTTTCCCCCAACTCTCTTCTGTACTGTTTACTTGTAATCACTGTATGTCTCACAAGATTTCATTGGAGTGAAGAACAACTGGGCTTCTTTTTAAGGGAGAATCTAAGGCCTCAAGCTTTATATCTGATCGTTTCATCAACTTTAAAACACTTTCTATGCCCGAGGAAAAACAAAAGACAACATTAGGTGTTTTCCCCTTGGATTTGCGATGATAAATATTACACTTACAAAAGGAAATAGTAGGTTTTATGTATTCTTTAAAACAAGCCATAGGAAATTATATACCATTTCCCCCTAAAGTTTAATACAGTAACATTAAATCTTAATAAAGGGAGATCCAGAGCCCTTCTAGAAATCTTTAGAATTAACTAAATGAATTGTCGGGGCCTCCCTGGTGGCACAGTGGTTGAGAATCCGCCTGCCAATGCAGGGGACACGGGTTCTATCCCTGGTCCGGGAAGATCCCACATGCCGCAGAGAAACTAAGCCCGTGCGCCACAACTACGGAGCCTATGCTCTAGACCCCATGAGCCACGACCACTGAGCCCACGTGCCACAACTACTGAGGCCCACACGCCTAGAGCCCGTGCTCCACAACAAGAGAAGCCACCGCAATGAGAAGCCCACGCACCACAACAAAGAGTAGCCCCTGCTCGCCACTACTAGAGAAAGCCTGCGCACAGCAATGAAGACCCAACCCAGCCAAAAATAAATGAATTAAATAAATACATTTATAAAAAAAAAAAAAAAACTAAATGGGATGTTATTTCCTTTGCTTTGCTCCTATCCCAGATTGGGTTAGGGGTTAGGTTTTAGGGTTATATAGTCAGGATGCCTGCTTGCAACTTTAGGAATTCATAATCTTGCACATACCTATTGATGCTGAGAGTTTTCAGGACACTAAGTAAAAGTTATATAGTCAATATATGAATTGGACAGTATATTACTGCATTATATACAGGTCAGATCATTTGTGGAGGGAGGTAGGAAGAGGATTGAGATGGATATTGTGATAACTCTCCATATCTAGTCTGTATAGGAATTCACTCCTCACAATCACTATTTCTCTTGACCCTCTAGGATAACCTTAAACTGTGACTTTCATCCTCCATGGGTGAGGCACAGAGGGTGGGCAGTTTCCTGTCCCTCCTGAGATGGTAATGGTTGAAGGGTAAAGGTAATTGGAAGCAGGGATGACACTAGGAAAAATTTTAACTAGGTAAAATTTGCCTTATGATCAATCCCTTTCCAGTCCTTCAGGAACTATTATGTCTCTCCCAAACTTGGCGGGGGCAGGGGTTAGGGGTAAGGAGGGAGGAATAAGAACTTTATTATCCCTTTCAGGGATATTTTCATGTGAATGAGGACAATGTTTATCCTTGAATAATGATGGTAATTTAGATATCAAGAGGGGTGATGACTGGGATGGTAGTAGTGGTGCTTAGGGTGGAGAAAGCCCTTCTGGAATTTCTTAGATGACATTGTAGACAGTTACTTATATCCTGAATGAAGGCCTGGTCAGGTGTGGTTAAGGGTTACATGTAAGGAGATAAATTGGAGTTAGGTTGGTCTGAAGGCAAAATCTCCATCTCCATGTTGATAGAGCGTGCTCTCTCTCCTCTTTCTCTCTCTGTCAAATTTTTGAGGCTGGGGGACTAGGAAGTAATATAATGCAGGGCTAAGTGTAGAGTCTCACTGCCTGTTGTTTCTTTTGATATGTATATAAATATAATCAAAACAAAACAACAATAAAACAAAAACATTTTATTTTAACAATTGTAACATTTAATGAGACAGATGCTTTATATCCGTTTTCTAATTGATGTCCCGGGAAAGTAGATTTTGTTTTTATTATGCTAACATCAAAGGATCAATACGATTTTGAAGGAAATTCCAAAAAGGCTATTAAAAATTGCAATAATTTTGTGACATGACAGAGACCATGTTGTAGCTAATTTATAGAAACAGTCCAAGAAACATGTGGTTTGAGGCCAAATTATATATCTCTTAAAATTGGACAAAGGATAAGATGGGGCATACTTTAATCTTAACACATAGGTTAGTTGCATGTTATCTTTTGAAAAAGGAACTTCTAAAGAAAATGTAGGAAAAATATTAAATAACTTTAACTTTTATATTGAGGTATGCAGTAATGAAATTCATATGTGAAATCTATGTTTCCTCATCATTGAAGGCTGGAAGCTCTGCTGTGAAGTTACTTGAACGGGAAGTGACTATCCTAAAAAGTGTGAAACACGAACACATTATACATCTAGAACAAGTATTTGAGACGCCTAAGGTAAAGCTTTGTCAGGTGCTGCATTTTGAAAATTGTTATTATTACAAAATGAACATCATTCCCTTGGGAAGTAATCCTTTTGGGACACAGTGGCTCATGTCCTTGGCATGAGTCTGTCACTGGAGATTGATGAGAGCATTCTGGGGGACTTTTTATTGTTGATTTTATAGTTAGGTGTCTGACGATTAGATTGACGTTTTTAGTGAAATTTCTGGTGGCATGTTGAAAACAAATGTTTAAAATTGAAACAACCTCAGATATAACCCATTTGTGACCAGAGCTTCCTTAGAAGTGTCTTTCTTTTTGCTTTGGTCCTTGGTTCTCCATTAGAGTCTCTTGGAATATTGTCATAATTTTGCAAGTCTAGCTTCATAGTAGAGTTGGTATGGGCATATTTGGCACTATGTAGAAGATATTTTGTCATCTGTGTCTTAAGCTAATATGTTTAATCTTCCTTCTTTCCTAGATGTTTTCATTCTTGTCTTTCAATGCTTGTAATTTCCATTTAGAGTTGTTCTGAAGCCTGGGTTATTTGCCATTCTGCCTTCAAGTTGTTTATGCACGTGGGCTTGGGTATTTCTCTGCTCGGAGGCAGTATGATACAGTGGTTACGCACGTGGACTCTGGGATCAGATTGCCTGTGCAATATAATCCTGGCTCCAACACTTGTTAGCTCTGAGACCATGGACAAGTTACTCAACCTCTCTATACTTAAGTTTCCTCATCTGTAAGATTGGTTTAATGATAGTATCAAACTCACTTGGTTGTTGAAGGATTAAACGGGAAAGCGAATATAAAGCATACGTCTCATCGACTGTTAGCTATTGTTCTTTGTTTCCTTTGACAGTCTCTAAGGCAGCAATAGTCAGCTTGCGTTATGCGTTATGCTTGATTCATTAGAAGTGCTTGATAAATGTTAGAGACCACAGTTACCTTTTATGGGAGCAGTATATGGCAGTGGTGCCAGAAGGCTTCTCTACCTTTTCAGTTTTAGAGTTGTGACTTATTTTATCCTCAAATCTGCTTAGAATAGTTTTGCTCTTTATCATCAGTTTTAACCAGTTTCATTATGTTGTGCCTTGGTATAGTTGTCTTCATGTATCCTGGCTTGGGGTTCATGGAGCTTCTTGAATCTGTGAGCTTATGGTTTTCATCAAATTAAGGAACATCTTGGCCATTATTTCTTCAAATATTTTTTCTGCCTTCTCCTACTTTTAGGACCTCAAGTACACATGAGATTGCCTGACATTGTACAAAGCTCACTGATGCTCTATTCATTTTTTTTCCAATCTTTTTTCTCTCCCTGTTTAGTTTCGCAGAGTTTCTATTGTGATATCTTCAGATTAAGTAATCTCTTTTTCTGTAACATCGTATGCGCTGTTTATCCCTTCCAATGGAAATTTGCTTTGGATCATTTTTCTATCTTCCATGTTTCTACTTAACATGCTCACTATTTCCTCCTCCTTAAATATAGTTACAATAACCTTTAATATCCTTTTCTCTTAATTCTATCATATGTGCCATTTCTAGGTCAGTTTTAATTGATTGATTTTTTTCCCCTTCATTATATGCCTGCTTCTTTAGATGCCTGTTAATTTTTGATTGGGTGCTGGCTATTTTTAATACTCTTACAACTATTTTTGAGCTTTATTCTGGGACATAGTTAAGTTATTGGAAATAGTTTGATACTTTCCAAGCTTGCTTTAAGCTTTGTTAGGTGGCACCAGAGCAGCCTTTGGTCTAGGGCTAATTTTTCCAGACTAATGAGGGAAGACCCTTTTGAGTATTCTACCCCATGAATAATGAGATTTTCCACTCTGGCTAATGGGAATACAAACCCTTCCTGGCCATGTGTAAGCGCCAGTGATTGTTTCTTCTGATCTTTTCACATGGTTCTTCTCCCAACTTTGGGTAGTTTCCTCATACATATGTGCTAGTTGGTACTTTGCTGAAGAGTCGAGGGGGGCTGTCTGCAAATCTATGGAGCCTTCTCTCCATAGATTTCTCCTCTTTGGTAATCTTCTCTGTGAACTTCAGTTGTCTTGGCCTTCAGGGACTCCCAGCACCATCTCCTCAGTTCATGTAGACTGCTGGGCTCTGTTTGGATTCCTTTTCCCTTCTCTGTGGCTTGGAAACTCTCCAGACAGTAAGCTAGGATAATCACGGGCCTGGTCTCATAGGTTTCCCTTCTCTCAGGAATCACTGCCCTAGGCTGTCTGATGTCTAATGTCTGAAAATTGTTATTTTATGTACTTTGTCCATTTCTTAAGTTGTTTCAGGAGGGAGGGTAAGTCTGATCTGTTACTTCATGTTGGGCACAAGTGGGAGTCCAAATCTAGAATAATTTGAAGGCCAAAGAAACCATCATCTGTGATTGTCTTTTTTATGTATTGTTTGCCCTTGATTCACACAGGTCACATCTGACTCCCCATCTTCCCAACTCACACAAATGCCTAGACCTTCCGTTGAAGCCATCTTAAGGATGAATGGAAATTGCTACCTGAAGGGTTAGGCTAAGATAGTAATGCTGATCATGCAGTTTGACTGTGTATGGTTTCTTGTGAGTCCAAATGTTCTACACAATTACTTTTAATAATTGTATAAAGAGTTGTAAAAAACTTCTGTTGATATAACTTTTATCAACGTACATATTTTAAAATGACATCAATTTATATTGTAAGCACTGCTAGTATAACTTTGCCTTCCAAATAGTTCACTTACCATTTCATTTCATGATCCTACGGTGTTGTCAGTGGAAAAACTACGGCCTAGTTCAAAAGCTTATTTATGTGTTAGACTTTGCAGCATTCTGTAGTTACTTTTGAAGTTCTAAACATCTTGAGATTGAGTGAGTCAGAATTTTGACTATAGGAAGAAAGGTTGTTAGCCTTGTCCTCCTGTATTCGTGCTTGCTGACTGAACACAGAAGTTGCACTAGTAGTGGTAATAGAATAGGATCAGATTCCAGAATCTTAAAAACAGCAGTGAAAATGTGGTATAGGATAGAATGGAGACATGGAGGGTAGTCTGTGTCTGAATAGCATAGGTATGAAAAAGACACGCATTTTAGTTGACTGTGAATCTTTTTGACTTAATAGATGACTTGGCTATCGGAATACCTAAGGTGATCTTAATATGTATGCACAGAAACAGCAAATGTGGAAGAGGCATTTCATTTGTGGCTTTTTACGATTTATACCCAATTAGTCACTAAGTCCCACTATTTCTCCCTCCGGGTATTTTCACATCTTTTTCTTCTTCCTTCTTTTCTCCATTCTGTGCCTCACATCTACCCTCTTATAATCAGAGGTCAGCTTACACAGCATGTGAGCCAGTGGCATGTGGCCTGTTTTTTTATGGCCCATAAGCCAGGTTTTTTACATTTTTAAATGGTTGGAAAAAACGTAAAAGAGTAAAATTTCATGACATGTTAAAATTATATGAAGCTAAATTTCAAAGTCCATAAATAAAGTTTTGTTGTGTTGTTTATGGATGCTTTTATGCTGTAACAGCAGAGTTGAGTGGTTGCAAGAGATTGTATGTTCCTCAAAGCCAAAAATATTTACTGCCTGGATCTGGCCTTTATAGAAAAAAGTTTGTTGAGCTCTGCTCCTCTTTACTGTTAGAGTGTTCATTTAGAAATGCAGAATTGATAGTAGCACATACCTTTCCCCCCACTCCAGACATCAGCTTAAAAATCTTCAGTGGCGGGCTTCCCTGGTGGCGCAGTGGTTGAGAGTCTGCCTGCCGATGCAGGGGACGCGGGTTCGTGCCCTGGTCCGGGAAGATCGCACATGCCGCGGAGCGGCTGGGCCCGTGAGCCATGGCCGCTGAGCCTGCGCGTCCGGAGCCTGTGCTCCGCAACGGGAGAGGCCATAGCAGTGAGAGGCCCGCGTACCGCAAAAAAAAAAAAAAAAAAAAAAAATCTTCAGTGGCTCCTTATTGCACATGGGGAAAAAAAAAAAAATCCCAGCTCCTTTGTGTGACATCCAAGACTCCTTACAGCCTGACACCAACGTGTTCTTTCTGGCCTCACCCCTCACCATCTCAGTCTTCTCTGACTTACCAAACTCCCAGTGCTATTAACACTGAGATACTTGTTATTCTTTAACTGCCAGCACTGGTTTCTTTCTTTCTTTCTTTCTGTTTTTTTTTCTAGCCTTGCAGCGCTGGCATGCGGGATCTTAGTTCCCGACCAGGGATAGAACCCGCGCCCCCTGCAGTGGAAGGGCGGAGTCTTAACCACTGGACCACCAGGGGAGTCCCACCAGTGCTGTTTTGAGCTTTGGAGTCTGCAAATGCCATGTGCTATGCCTGTTCTTGCCCATATTCTCTACCCATAAATCCCTATTCAGTCATCCAGACGTGCCTGTATGTTGCCTCTTCAGTGAGCATTCTTTAGGCAAAGGCTCCCCTCCTCTGTAACCTCATCACATTTCGGACATTCCTCTTCTGTTAGCCATTACCCCATGGTATTGTGATTATAGCTAAACTCTGAACTCCTTGAAGGTAAAGACTATGTGTCTTATGCTTCCTTTTTCCTCTAGTATCCTGCATAGTATCTTGTACATGATAGATAACAAATAGTTTTGAATGAAAAGATCGATTGTAACCATATTTCTGCTATACATATACCATATATAACATTTTAAAGATCCTCAGCTAAATAATTTGTGCTCTCTGTCTCTCTTTTTAAATTTATAATGTCAGAAAATGTACCTTGTGATGGAGCTTTGTGAGGATGGAGAACTCAAAGAAATTCTGGATAGGAAAGGTCATTTCTCAGAGAATGAGACCAGGTGGATCATTCGAAGTCTCGCCTCAGCTATAGCCTATCTTCACAATAAGGGTAAGAAGAGGATCCAGCTCACTGACTCCATGAGCGCAGATACCACTTTTGTTTAAGGGCAATTGTATTCAGGGTTCATAGTCACAGAAATAATGCCTACTAATATGGAAGATTTTCTTTTAAAAACATTTTTCCTTTTTAACTTTATAGATATATTTTAATTAGAAGCAAGGCAGGTATGCAATTACATTGTACACAGACAAGATGAAATTATGAATGTTTCTACAGAACAGTTTGAAAAGAAGCTAATATTATCAAATCAAAAATAGAAAATCAATAATAAAAGTGAAATTTCTAAAAACACATATTAATAATGTTTAAAATCTATATATTCTAGGCATTTAAAAATTTTTAGATTAATTATTAGAGCAGTTTTAGGTTCACAGCAAAATTGAGAAGTTACAGAGAGTCCCAGATACCTCTGCCCGTGCATGCACATCCTGCCCCATTATCAGCATCCCCCATCAGAGTGGTACATTTACTACAGTTGATGAACCTACATTGACACATCATTACCACCCAAAATCCATAGTTTGGATCCATAGAATCCAAAATTCTATGGATTTTGACAAATGTATAAAGATACATATCCCCCAGTATAGTACCATATGGGAATCGTTTCACTACTTTAAAATCCACATTTTAAATCCATTTAAATCCATAATTCTTCTAATGGCTTTACTGTTCTTTGGTGTTATTGCTACTGTTTTTCCTCGTGCTCCTGCTTTTTTTCCTTCAGTGTTAGTTTGGCTTATATGTGACTTTAGAAACTTCTCATTTTATAGGTGAGAAAAAGCTTTGTTCCAGAGAGGTGAAGTGACATGGTTAGGTGTGGCAGAGCCGGTACTGGAACCCAGGGGTTCATTCAGCAGATATTTCTTGAGCACCTACAGCATTGTGGTTAGTTCTAGAGTTACAGAAGTTAAAAGACAAGGCAGCTGCCCCTCAAGGAAATTGAGAGGCAGATGGGAGATGGAGTACAGAAAACAAACTGTAATGCAACATGATAATTTCTGAAAGCCATATAAAGTGCAAGGAGCATAGGTATATTAAGTGCCTCATTTGGTTTGGAAAGTCAGGGAAGAATTCACAGAGGAAGCAAAACTTGAGCTGAGGAATACAAACTCAGACGAAAAAGGGAGGGCTTTCCAGGCAGAGGGCAACAATTTTTGCAAGGGCAGGAAACCAAAGGCTTAATATTATGCTAATGTCGATTCTCCCACATTAAGCTGTAAATTCAGTATAATTTCAAACTAAATCTTAACAGGATTTTTCATGGAACTTGATAAAATTATTTTGAAATGGGTGAGACTAGTAAAGAAAACAATGAAAAAGAAGAACAGCGGAGGCAGCAGAGAGACTTGCCCTGCCAACTACTAAAACATAAAGATAAATTAATATTAAAATTTTGTGGTATTTATGTAAGAAGAGATAAGGAGAACAATGGAAACAATAAAAATTCCAACACAGGCTGGAACTGTGTAAGGGAACTGTAAATAATTAGGTATAATTGCCAGTCCAGGTCTCATTCAGCTTCATTTTTCCAGAAATTATGCCTATAACTTTTTAAGTTTAGGGAAATGATTGCTATGGATATGAACTGAATCAGTTATTTGCAAAGGAAATATTTGGTACATGAGAGTATTTGCATGTACATAAAAGTCCTACCTGAGCTCTGACATGTTCAACTGGAGATTTTGTGTCTCAGGGGTTTTTGTTTTTAATTTTGATGTATAGAGTAGGAAAGTGGTACTGATGTTGTAGAAAAATATACTGAAATAAGTGTAGTTTGTATACGTGTTGCCAGGTTGCAGTATGTTAACTGTTTATACTGGCAATAAGATATGCATAGAAGTAAAGAAGTAATCCTCTATTTGAAGAGCGAAGGACATGGGAAACCTTCCCAGGCTTGTAAGTACACGTGTCTCCCTCCTCCAGGGAATACCTAACCTTGGACAGGATCCTCTTCCACACTTACCAGGCCACTTGTCATGAAGAGCGGCCAGTTGGAGCAGCAGGGGATTGGGGAGAGGTGAGGGAGCCAAAGAAAATGGCTCCTTAAGGTTAGAAACATGGAGAAAAGGGATCTGAATATCAGGGAATAGAAGAGGGCAGGGTTACACCTGGCCCTCCTCAAATTTTTCAACGGTGGATGTTAACTGGTCAAGTATATTTATTTGTTCTATTTGTGTCCTCTCTATTTTTTCATTATCCATTTCATTTGATTTGTTGTTTATTTTCTTGGTAGATATAGTACATAGAGATCTAAAACTGGAAAACATAATGGTTAAAAGCAGCTTTATTGATGCTAATGATGAAATGAACTTAATCATAAAGGTAAGATATTAGAAATGGTCATAATTATTTGCCTATAAACAGTTTGATAGCGAAGTGGCAAAGTACATCCTCTTTTTAGATACATTTTGAAAGCTTTTAAACGGCCAAAACTAAGTGCTTGTGCTAAAAAAATTAAAATTTCACAAAAGAGGTTGTGACTGACAAGAATAATTTTACAAGTTAAGTGGTGCTATTGACTTTTTCTAAAGTACATATTCATTTTGATAGTTCTGAATCATTAGTTAATAGCAAACAAACAGATGCTCTGAATTCTAATTAATTTCAAAATTATGCCTGGTAATTTGATGTAAATGTGTTACAGATCTAGAGAAAAAGTGCACCTTGGCTGTGCCTTTGATACTAAATTAATGCTAAAGTCTGTATTTCTCATTTAAAAATAAAGTCTGTATTTCTCATTTAAAAATACCCAAACTTAATAATTTGGGTATTAATATTTATGTCCTAAGAAAAATTAATGTGCCAAGTATTTATTCTTGAAGACTTTATTCAAATTAAGTGTCCCTTAATGTCAAATAAATGATAGGATACATTATTTATTACTTAGCACTTTAAAAGTGGCTGCTTTCAAAATATATGAATGTGTTAATTTAGGAATAAAATGTTGTCTGTGAATAACTTGCTTTGTTGCATTTAAATAGGTTTAACAGCATTGTTGTTTTACCCAAGTAAAGTAAATGTTCTTAAATATTTCCACTGTAAACTCTACGAGAACAGGAATTCTGTGTGTCTCATTCACTGTTGGTACCTGGAGTAGTGCCTGAAGCATAGTATGTGCTCAATTAATATTTGGTGCATAAAGGAATAAATGCTCTCCAAAGAACTGAATTGGATCATGAAAGCTTTTATATGTTTGATATCTGTATAAATTTTCTGTGGAGGAAGATATGTATCTTAATGCTCCAAGTAGGATCATTGTGAACACTCCTGGAGAAATTGATTAATCTCTTTAGAAAAATAGTGATATTACATTGTTGATAGGAATATTTTCTTACTCCATGCGGTACTGGAAACTTTCCATTCAGTGTCTGTGGACCAAAAGCCTATCTTTGATTGTGTGATCAATAAATGTGCCTGTTTTTCTGCTTTCAGCCCAAGGCTGTTCCAACTTGGGAGACAAGACCAAGGGCACGTACTGAATATTTAATAACCAAATGTTTAATGACCAAGATTTAGGACTGAGCAGAAAGCCTGCAGTTGCAGCAGTAGGCCTCCTGTGTATTTGTAGCTATATTGTGGTTTTCTTCCTGTTAATTTGCTTCTCGTAGTTTTTAATAGTGTAATAATTTTTTAAATTAGTATACTCTAGAAACACAAAGGAAATAATAGTAAAGAAAAGACAGCATTTACTAGAGATAATGTTTTGTAAATAATTATTAAAGGGGGGAGTTTCCTTGAGTGCTGACAAGGATAATGATTTGCATTTATAACAGCGCTTTAAACTGGAACATAGCTTGAGCATCAGAAAAATAGATGATAAACTTACTAAGGCCAGAATGTATTTTACAGTGAAAGAACTTTATAAAAATAACTTTTTTATTTGAAAAAAAGTTAAATGCCTTCTTGCAAGAACAACTTCCTATGTTGAACTGGTGAATTTAATTAGAAGGAATGAACAATCAACGTCATGGGTGTTTTCTCAAGATTCGACAAACCAAGCTTCTCTTTACCAAGTTTCTTCTTCAAAAGGACGGGTGGGTGGGGAGGGGAAGCAAGGTCCTTATTAGTAACACAAGTAAAGCCCCTCCGTCCTCAAGAATCCCTGAATTAAATGCAATACAATGCGGTGAAAGTCCTATTTGCAGAATGAGAATAACTCCATATGAGTTTCTTCTTGTAGGTGACTGATTTTGGTTTAGCGGTGAAGAAGCAAGGAAGGAGTGAAGCCATGCTGCAGACCACATGTGGGACACCTATCTATATGGGTAAGTTAGTAGACTTAAAATGATTTTTTTTCTATATGAAAAAGTAGAACAACTAGTATGGATTAAAACTTGAGCAGTTCAATTTCACGTCATGACTTAATGGCCCTGAGCAAGCTAACCTTTTCTTAGGTCAAATAATTTTAGTTGTTTTAGCAGATTTCTCATAATTCTTATCTTCAAAGATTATAGTTTTCATTATTTCTCTGGGCTCTTCTTATAGCTGTTTATGTCTCTTAGGTAATCATACACCCAAACTTAATTATTGTTTTATTAATTCATGCTAAAATCATGAGTATGTTTTGCTTCTTTCCATTTTTTATCCAATTTCATTGCCATCCAGTGGTTTTTCATAGAGTACTGATTAAATATATTTTATAAACAAAGTTGCCCATTTTTCTAAATGTGATTTTTAACAGCTTTCCTGAAGTATAATTTAAATACCATAAAAATGTACCATTCAGTGATTTTTTTCATACATTCACAGAGTTGTGCAACATCACCACAATCCAGTTTTAGAACAGTTCTACCCCCAAAAGTTGCCTCATGCCTGTTTGCACTCAATCTCATTCCTATCCCAACCCCAGGTAACCACTAATCCTTATCTCTCTAGATTGGCTGTTTCTGGACATTTCATATACATAGGATCATGCAATATGTAGGCTTATACGCCTGGCTTCTTTCACATAGCATGATGTTTTTGAGGTACATCCCTGTTGCAGTCTGTTTCTTTATATTACTGAACAGTTGTCCGTTGTATGTTGTTTATATATTTATTAGCTGATGGGCATGTGGATTGTTTCCAGTTTGGAGCTATTATGAATAATCCTGCTATGGACATTCGTGTACAAGTTGTTTTTTTTTTTAAGCTTTTCGTAAAATTTATTTATTTTATTTTATTTATTTTTGGCTATGTTGGGTCTTTGTTGCTGTGCACAGGCTTTCTCTAGTTGCGGCGAGGGGGGCTTCTCTTCGTTGTGGTGCGCAGGCTTCTCATTGCGTTGTCTTCTCTTGTTGCAGGGCACGGGCTCTAGGCGTGCGGGCTTCAGTAGTTGTGGCTCGTGGACTCAATAGTTGTGGCTCGCAGGCTCTAGAGAACAGGCTCAGTAGTTGTGGCGCATGGGCTTAGTTGCTCCATGGCATGTGGGATTTTCCCGGACCAGGGCTCGAACCCATGACCCCTGCATTGGCAGGCAGATTCTTAACCACTGCGCCACCAGGGAAGTCCCTCGTGTACAAGTTTTTTTTGTGGACATGTGGTTTCATTTTCCTTGGGTAGCTACCAAGGAGTGAAATTGCTGGGTCATATATTATTTATGTTTATACTTTGTAAGAAACTGCCAAACAATTTTCCAGAGTGGCTCTAATATTTTCCTTTGCACTAGCAATGTATGAGAGTTCCAGTTTCTTCACATCCTTGCTAACTCTTTATATTATCTATCTTTTTAATTATAGCCATTCTAGTGGTTATGGAGTAGTATCTCATTGTGATTTTTAATTTGCATTACCTTAATGACCAATGATGTTGAGTATCTTTTCATGTACTTATTAGTCATTCGTATATCTTCTCTGATGAAATGTCTATTCAAGTCTGTACCTACTGAGATGATCATATATTTTTTCTCTTTAAATTTATTAATGAAATAATTACATTAATAGATTTTTAAAATGTTGAACCATCCTTGTACTTTTGGATTAAACCCCACTTGGTTTAATGTACTGCCATATTCAATTTGTCACCACTTTATTTAGGAATTTTGAATGTAGCTTTCTTTCTTTCAGCTGCCCTTGTCTTTTTTGATGTTAGGGTTATAATATCCTCATTTTAAAAATAAAATATTTTCACTTGTTGTATGCTCATGAACCACTTAAGCAATAGAAATTACCTGTTCATTAATTACTTGATGAAATTTCCCCTTAACATTTTTTGGTCCTGATACCCTTTGGGGGATAAAGTTTCTATTATTAATTTATATTAGGTTATTCAGGTCTTTCACATCTTCTTGAGTTATTTTGATAATTTATGTTTTTCAGAAAATTGCAAAATATCCAGTGTAACATTTGCAAAAATGAATCCTGTGTTCAATCACAGAGAACACTCCTAAAAGTTGGAAACCTTTAAGTCACAATTACCTAGTATAATGAAGAAAGCTAGACAGAAAAACCAAAAGGCTAGATAAATTAACACACATTCACACGAGCATCAAACACATCCCAACCACCTAGAAAATTTAACCCCCCCACCCCCCTGGCAACCACCCATTTGTTCTCCTAATCTATGAACCTGTGTCCATTTTGTATTATATTGTTCGTTTGTTTTGTTTTTTAGATTCCACATATAAGTAAGATCATACAGTATTTGTCTTTCTCTTTCTAGCTTATTTCACTTGGCACAATAACCTCAAGAACCATCCATGTTGTTGCAAATGGCAAGGTTGAATTTTTTATGGCTGAGTAGTATTCTATTGTATATGTAAACCACATCTTCTTTATCCATTCGTCTATCAATGGGCACTTAGGTTGCTTCCATATCTTGGCTATTGTACATAATGCTGCATTGAACATAGGGGTGCAGACATCTTTTCAAATTCTTGGTTTTTTGTTTTTTGGGTTTTTTTTCCAGAAAAATACCCAGAAGTGGAATTGCTGGATCGTATGGCAATTTTATTTTTAACTGTTTGCAGAATCTTCATACTATCTTCCAGAATGGCTGCACCAATTTCCATTCCTACCAACCAGTGCATGAGGGTTTGCTTTTCTCCACATCCTCACCAACATCTGCTACTTGTTGTCTTTTTGGTGGTAGCCATTCTGACAGGTGGGAGGTGGTATCTCATTGTAGCTTTAATTTGCATTTCCCTGATGGTTAGAGATGTTGAGCACCTTTTCACGTGCCTGTTGGCCCTCTGTATGCCTTCTTTGGAAGATGTCTATTCAGGTCCTCTGCCCATTTTTAAATCGGGTTGTTTGGTTTTTTGATGTTGAGTTGTATGATTCTTGGTATATTTTGGTTATTAACCATTATCAGATATATCATTTGCAAATATCTTTTCCCATTTAGCAGGTGGCCTTTTCACTTTGTTGATAGTTTCCTTCTCTGTGCAAAAGCTTTTTAATTTGTTGTAGTCTGATTTGCTTACTTTTGCTTTTGTTTCCCTTGCCTGAGGAGACACATCCAAAAAATATTGCTAAGACCTGTGTCAAAGAGCGTACTGCCTATGTTTTCTTCTAGGGGGTTTATGGTTTCAGGTCTTACATTTAAGTCTTTTATCAATTTTGAGATTATTTAAATTGTATATGGTATGAGAAACTAGTCCATTTTGAGTCTTTTCCATGCAGCTGTCCAGTTTTCCCAACATCATTTATTGAAGAGGCTGTCATTTCTCCATTGTATATTCTCGCCTCCTTTGTCATAGATTAATTGACCATATAAGTGTGGGTTCATTTCTGGCTCTCTATTGTGCTCCATTGATCTATGTGTCTATTTTTGTGCCAGTACCATACTGTTTTGATTACTGTCACTTTGTATTATAGTTTGAAATTGAGCAGCATGATATCTCCAGCTCTGTTCTTTCTCAATATTATTTTGGCTATTCAGGAGGGTCTTTTGTGTTTCCATACAAATTTTAGAATTATTTGTTCTAGTCTGTGAAAAATACCATTGTTATTTTGATAGGGATTGCACTGAATCTCTAGATTGCCTTGAGCAGTATGGTTATTTAAATAATATTAATTCTTCCAGTCCATGAGCATGGTATATCTTTCCATTTGTGTCATCTTCAATTTCTTTCATCATTGTCTTGTAGTTTTCTGAGCACAGGTCTTTTACCTGTTTAGTTAGATTTATTCCTAGGTATTTCATTCTTTTTGATGCAATTGTAAATGAGATTGTTGTCTTTTTTTCTAATTGACGTATAGTTGATTTACAGTGTTGTGTTAATTTCTGCTGTACAGCAAAGTGATTCAGTTATACATATGTATACATTCTTTTTTATATTGTTTCCTTTATAGTTTACCATGGGATATTGAATATAGTTCCCTGTGCTATGCAGTAGGACCTTGTTGTTTATTCATTCTATATATAATAGTTTGCATCTGCTAACCCCAAGCTCCCAATCCACCCCTCCCCTACTCCCCTTCCCTCTTGGAAACCACAAGTCTCTTCTCTATGTCTGTGAGTCTGTTTCTGTTTTGTAGATAGGTTCATTTGTGTCATACTTTAGATTCCACATATAGGTGATATCCTATGGTATTTGTCTTTCTCTTTCTGACTTACTTCACTTAGTATGATAGTCTCTAAGTCCATCCATATTGCTGCAAATGGCATTATTTCATTCTTTCTTTTACTGCTGCAAAGTATTCCATTGTATATATGTATGACATCTTCTTTATGTATTCATCTGTCAATGGACATTAGGTTGTTTCCATGTCTTTGCTATTGTGAATAGTGCTAGTATGAACATAGGGGTGCATGTAGGCTTTTGAATTAGAGTTTTGTCCAGATATATGCCTGGCAGTAGGATTGCTGGATCATATGGCAGCTCTATTTTTAGTTTTTTGAGAAACCTACATACTGTTTTCCATAGTGGCTGCACCAATTTACATTCCCATTAACAGTGTAGGAGGGTTCCTTTTTCTCCACACCCTCTCCAGCATTTGTTATTTGTATTTGTAGACTTTTTAATGATGGTCATTCTGACCTGTGTGAGGTGGTACCTCATTGTAGTTTTGATTTGCATTTCTCTAATAATCAGGAATGTTGAGCATCTTTTCATGTGCCTGTTGGCCGTCTGTCTCTCTTCTTTGGAGAAATGTCTATTTAGGTCTTCTGTCCACTTTTTTATTGGGTTGTTTGGTTTTTTGTTGTTGTGTTGTATAAGCTGTTTGTATATTTTGGAAATTAAGCCCTTGTTGGTCGCATCATTTGCAAATATTTTCTCCCAGTCTGTAGGTTATCTTTTCATTTTGTTTATGGTTTCCTTTGCTGTACAGAAGCTTGTAAG